TGTGTTCTTACACACATGTTGAAAGAAGAACTATGGCACTAAAATGAGCTGAGCCAATCTCCTGTCTTTAGTAGCAGAGTTCTCTTAAGGTGGTGGCTTCCTGCTTCATTGCTTTTCTTTCTTTCTTTCTTTTTCTTTCTTCGTTTCACAGATTTTTGTTTTGTTTTGTTTTTAATAGATGCTAATGACATAGTCAGGCTTTTATTCTTCAATAAACCCAGAACCTACACATAACTTAGGTTCCAGGAATCTGTTTTATATTTCACTGTATTTATTTAATTGTAGATTTTCTCTCCATTTGAAAATTCCCATTTGAGTCCCATTTGGGGCAGAATGAGGCCCCAAGCCATTCAGGATGAATCCCCTACTTACATATTGTCATTACAGCTGTTGGTAGTGTATTTAAGTCAATCCTGCTCCTTTCTGATGGGAACAATATTTGACCCTTTGTTAACTCAGTTCTTAAAGTTTTATGCATAGGTATGGTATATTTTTTCTGTTACATTCAAGCATCGTGTTTACATTTAATGGGGAAAAGTCTTGACATGCAAAAGAAGATTGTGAAGGATCATTTTAATACAGTTGTAAGATAATAAAAAGCCATGATGTTTCATAGCTACATGTTGAGTAAATCTCTTGCCTTCAGATATGCTCAATTTTTGTTGTTTTTAAAAGTAATTTTTTGGTGTTACACCTAAGTGCAAAACACATTTCATTTTGGTTTCCAGGGACAACTCACTTTTTCTTCCATGCAAGGAGAAAATATTTACCCACACACACATACATATATGTATACACAAACACCACATACACACACACACATAGTCCACATATATATATTCCAAATTATTTTTTATCTATTCTATACATTATTCTATACACAGCCTAATGTTGTTGTCCCACACTGCTCTGGAGACATGAGGCCAAACTGAGATCATGTTTGCACAATAAAACCCTAGTGAATCTATAGATCTCAGATACCATAGCTGCACTCACTGCTGGTGGTACACAAGCAAGATAGATTAAAGCCAGCTTCACTATGTCTACACAAGCTTCAATTCCACTTCTGGTAGTAGTTCCTGTGTGCCAGCTGTGTGCTCTGAGAAGGGCTGGGCACAATGTACCTTCACAGATACAAATAGCAACCTTCCCCATTATGGGCTTCTCTACTAAGTCAGTGCAATAACCCTCTTCTTGACAAATACACTCATACATCATCATCCTGCCAGTGCGTTTGGTATACTACTGCAGTCCTCATGCAAAGGTAGGTGATGTATAGGTCATTGTACAGGCCCTTTATACTGCAGGTGAATTGTATCCTTCGTTGTCACTGGGTGCATCTACACATGCCCCTGACTGAGCAGTTAATACTGTGCAGTCATTTAGTACTTGTTTTAGCAAGTACTAAATGACTTCACAGTACCTCACAGTACTGTGAAGTCCCAGCAGCACACGGGTCATTTTGAACCCACTGTGCAGTAGCAACAAGCTACTGTGCAGTAGCTCATTGCTACTGTGCAGTAGTGGCGGCGTCATAGTTAGTGCCCATACATCACCATAGCTCATCGCTACGGCACCACAGCATCTTCTATAGACGAATCCAATAATAATAGTAATGAACCAATCCAATAATATGTGCTAATCTTGCAGATATTTACACACATTGAGTAGCCCCATAGAAACCAGTGGCATTACTCCAGTGATTAAAAGTAAGTACCTATATAAGTATGCACCCAAGAGGAGAAGCTGTAACACATGGAGAAAAACTCAGATTTCTTATTAAAATGTCTCTGATAAAATAAAGCACTGTTAATCCAATGGCTCTGAGGAAAATGAAACATAAGGAGTGGATCTAAAGCTTTTATATTTTGTATACTCAACCTATTTTTGAGGTATACATATAAAAAAAAAAGTCTGTCTCTCTTCTCCCCTCTCTCATGATTTTTTTAACACTCCTATAACTCAAAAAAGGCCAAGCGATTTTTTTTTTATCTGTTAAAAATGTGCTCCCTGAGCTGAAACCAAATTTCAGCCCTGAGCAAATTTTTACGGCTGGGTTATAAATCCCTGAAAAACAGGATTCATAATGGAAGTGCTGACACAGCCTTAACTACCATATAGCCGTGTGAATGGCGCCACTATAATATCTATTAGAGATTCTTTATAAAGTTTGCAAAATATTGTCTTGCCTTCCAGAAAAAAAGAAGCCAGAGTACTTAATGCCAACATAAACATGCTTTTAACCCATTATGTGCTAATTTGCAGAAAAGCCATTAATTCTGAATCCGGCACACAGAGTGCAGTACTAACAGGAAATGTTCCTCTAAACTCTTGTTTGACTTATAACATGGTTTTAATCACTTCCATGAAACACAGACGATGGTTTCAAACTCTGAGTGTTGCTCAGAACATGAGAAGGGTGATTACATTGGAGAGAAAAACTGGTCTGAAGAGGGAAAAGACAGAGAGAACTACACTAAGCATGTCAACATTATTATTCCATTCTCAGTCAAATTTCCAAAGATTACTTCAGCTCACAGCATTTAATGTTAGTCATCCATGTGCTTCTATTTTATCTTAGCTATATCATTAACAACAAGTATGTTTTCTAGGTGGTATGAGCAGATTTTTCCATTGAATCCACTTTTTATTAGCAACCCACAAGGCTGAAGCAAGTACGTTGCTTGACTTTAAATTTTGACATGTGTCATAGAGACCACTGCTACCAAAACTTTGCATAGCTACTGCTAGACAAGGGAGGGAGCCAGTGGCAATATGAAGCACTTCCACTAGACTAAACTATAACAAAGAAAGAGATGATGTTAGTGATGGCACTCATTCAGCTATAACAACACAAAGGGCTCACTTGCGAGCATGTAAAAAACTAAAATAAATAGATATTTTTAGGATTCTGTTTAATTTTTTTCCCTTCTATTCACTCATTAATACAGTCTCTCCCTCTTCTTGATTTCAGATATAAACATTGGGATCCCCTTTATGTGGTAATGCAAGGGAATATGTACAAATGTAAATCAAACATTTTACACGGTATTCAGCAACTTACTGAAACTTCTTGGTACAGCACACAGAATGAGCTGAAAAAATGTACTCGCTTATGCTGTTAGTAACAAAACATCATACCAGATTGCTATTGACATCACTTTACATGGCTGTTAACTGTTGTTATTAGTAATAGTAAGAGTGGGAGTAATAAAAGTAGTGGAGTGCAGTAAAGCTACTATCAGTGGATGTGGTCACTGCCAATTGGATTCAGATCTTGATGAACTTAATATAAATCTCTTTTCACTCATAGGGCCTGAACACCTATGGCACATTATCATTGATGTATTTACATTGTTTTTACATACCGATTAAATTGTACTGACATTCCGGAGTGAACAGATGACTAGTTATCACAAGATAGCTGCATGGTAGATGCTAGTACATCACCTTGCTATTATGTGGTGGTGGACCAAGTAATAAGCTGTTTGCATCAAGCAAATGGCTACTTCAGGATAACTGAGGACACATAATACATACACTGGTGTAACTGTTTCTTTCTATGAGGGGCTTTCCACCAGATTCTTATAAATTACACCAGCATAGAGCTATATATTGTGGGATCCCTTCTTTCTTTTACACCATTAAAAAGAAAAGATACACTGGTGTAAATTTGTCATGTACTTATGCCCTCAGATCAGAATCTGGTGGCAAATCTCTCAGTGCTGTTACTGTACTCTTTAATACTGACTCTCCATTGAGTCACTCTAGATTTGTCACTGAGGTCACACTCTCCAAGGCTTAGTTAGAGCTCTGGATGACTTTGACACATTCTGGTAATTATCTCATACAAAGTTTGAAGAAATGAAGTAAAGATTGTGGTTTTGAATACATATTACCTTCCAAGAATATTCAAGGTAGGGCTTGGGACTTTTTTTATTGGTGGTAGATTTTTTTTCCTTCTAATTTTTTGAGATAGAATTCCAGGAAATGCATGATTAAGTAGGACTGTATGGGAAATGGTTTTCCAATATAAACAAGTTTTCCAGATTAAAAAAAAAAATCCCATTCTGCTGTGATTGAAAAAAATACACTTTTTAAAGTGACCATGCAGAGACCAACCAAAAGCCCAGTGGTCAGTGCTAACCCACTGGATTAGGGAAAGTGCTTCAGGTACTGATCTGTGAGGTTGGATACTGACATTTAGGTTCCTGTTCTGAATTAAGCACAGGCAGTACCAGAACCTCAGTCTTCCATTTCCTGGGCAAATGTCCCAGCCACTAGGTTATTGGCTGTTCTGGGGGTGGAGGAAGTAAGTCTTTCTAGTTTAAATTTTAACCAGAAAATCCATGGATTATGGTGGTATGTAAATTCCCACAAAAAAGTTTTCTTTTGACAAATCAACAGTTTCCAACTAAATAGTTTTTGTTGGAAAATCCCAGAATTCTCAAACATATGCAGAGTTGTAGGTACTGAATATCTTTGAGGCCTGTTTTATCTGGATGCCTAAACTGTAAACACAGATTGGAAAATTCTGACAGAACTGATCAGGCAGGTCAGAAAGCAAGTTATGGCAGAACTGGAACTGAGAGATCCAAATCATTTCCCCTTGTCATGAGGTCACATCTTCTCTGCAAAAGCAAATGCACTATCAGACCTCTACTAAGGAAACTAGATTTTGAAACTTTCACAAGTTTCTGAGATCTACCAGCTGGTCCCCAGTTCCTACTGCCAGATGTTTTAATGACCTTTTCTGACCTATGCAAATCTCTCTCTGGTCTCCCATATTGACACAGTTCCATTTTGCTTGGAAGAACAAGCTTTCATCTGTGATGTACTGATTCTATGCCCTAATCAAGTGATGAATCAAAGGAACTTTGTAACTTTTTCATAACACTTAGTCTACTAAGAATTATCTGTGATAGTGAGCATTATATGTGACAGTAATTATTTGAAGGGCTCGACCAATAAAAATAGATTTTATTACATCTTTTACATACCTTCTTTAACTTCCTGTTTCTGCTCTTGATTTTCCATTTCTGAGTCATTCTGTGCTTTCAGTTCCACCATCTCTTCATCATCCTCATTATCTAGAAAAAATAAATTAAGAAGGATGGTGACACTATGTTTCTTCAGGGCTCAGGCAGAAGTCTACTTGGGCATCTTGTAACCACTAAATATACTGACAGTGAACATATGCATAATAAAGTGTATAACAGATATAAATGAATCAATCCTCCACAAAAATCCATCTCAGGAAGCATCCCCAAATCAGCAAGTTCATATTCTAGTATGAGGCACCTGTTACTATCACTCCCTTTGGCAACTATCCATCTCACATATCTCATGAATGGCTCTCTGACCCCAGAGATGACTTATTGAATAGCATAAGGACAGATATAAACATGTTTCAGCCTGGCAGCTATTCAAAAAGTGGGACACCTGTTATCCAGACACCTCATTTCCAATTCAGTTCTCACCAGATTAATTTGTTTTTTGACCTACAGGAAAGGGTTAAATAGAAGTCTGACCTCAGGTCAGATGCCACTAGTAAGCAAACAAGCACGGTACAGTTCTGAAAAGTCCTCACTATCAACTAGGAGAACACAGCAAACCAAAGTGGCATTTGAAGCTAAAGAATGGGTTTTTGAATTAATACACATTTCATGAACATTACAAATTGACACATGTCAGTTACTACCACCAGATGCTTTAATGACCTTTTCTAACCTATGCAAATCTCTCTCTCTCTCTGGTCTCCCATATTGATATATTTCCATTTTACTTGGAAGAGCAAGCTCTTAATTCTTTTTCATCGTTTGCCTGAAGGTAATACTTAAAGTTGCACAAAATACTTTAAAAACAATCCAGATTTCACTAAAGAGCAAGCATTGTCATGTTCCCAGCAAGAGAATGCAATGGTTTTCCCATTTCGTTGGTTCTGCATGCACAGCAAGGCCTACCTATATAAAATGATAGTGCAGTATAGAAAAAAAAGTCTCATCAAGGCCAAGTAGTTTAAATTGCTTGTACTTCTCGCATGCACATGAACTGAAACATATATAATGCTGATTGCAGTGCCTAATAGACATGAAAGATTCGAAAGGCTGAAAAAACAGAGTGGTTTAGACAATGTGGCATAACTAAGGCAATTGTGAAAACATAAATAAGTTACTAGGCTATGGTGGGTATCACATTGGAGTGATTTGGGAGGTGTACACAATAGGACAAACTGGGCATGTCTACATGTACAATTAACATGCTTAAATTTTATGCACAGAAAATTCAGGCTCATTAAAGTGCTCCCCAGTGCATATCTACAGGTGCACCCCCATCAAGAACAAATTGAGCTCAACAGAAATAGTTCAATCCAAGGCTCAACCAGGTGTAGGACCTGCCCAGGTAAGAGCTCAGGTATATACCAAGGGACCAGTTGTCTCTCAGGTAGGGAGGGTGCCCAGGGCTCCCTCAGGGAGATTAAGGTGTCTCTTCACTAATGCAAGAAGCATGG